TCCCCAGCATACTTACCTTTCCAAACCGAAACGCAATAATGCCCACATTATTGCTCGGTGGCAGAAATAGGCAAGAGAAATAGACATGAGGCTCTACTGCTCTATATGTTTTTTAAATAATTTTCGCAAGTTTTGGGTCTGTCTTGACGCATATAGTTGTTTATTCCACTCGTGTCAAAATTCACTTACTTCGAAAATTTACGTACCCTGAAATTGGGACAGGCAAACAAACGTCAATTGTGTATACTGCGCAATTATCTCTCAAACATACTGTAGATATAAAATCAAGTATGAGTACGAGTTTTACAATGCCAAATTAATTCTGTTGAATTCTGAAGCCGTATTTCAGCAAATGAAATTGACTTGATGACATGCCATAACTCAGAATTAAAGCTTGATTGGTACGAATGTGTCAAGAGCCTCGTTTATTACCGAGCAGTGAACGATTGAAGCACTTGACACTGATTCGCGAATGTTTTTGTTTTGATTTGTTTATTAAAATCATACTAAAATGAATTTATGATTATGACGTAGTAGTCAGAAAATGGAAAACGTGACTGAATTCCTTATTGAATAATAATAATTATTATTACTTTCTTCTCACACAACTTCAACAATAATTAAACATTCTTATGTAAATAAAACGTTTATTGTCTGTGAAGGCTGGAGCCTAAAGCAGGATACGCTAGTCTCCAGGCCTCCACCTACGGATAAAGTATTATCATTGACTGAGACAAGAATGATTGATATGAGGGATAAGTAAGCAAAAATTACTTTATACAAAGCAATATGTTTGAAAAAAACAATAAACAAAAAGTGATAATGAGTCAGATAATTGAAGTGACATAAAAGATAACATTAAATTAGATTTAGCGCGATGTTTGTTCCAAATTAAATAGTTATCTTTTTAGTTACAGTGGCGTGCACGAAACAGCCTCCCCGCACGACGTACTATTCTACATTTCTTGTATATCTGACGCCCCCTGCGCAATAATTGGCGAGTGCCTGACGTCTATTGGCAAAATCTTTCACCACGATACCAAGCTTTATAGTACGCATGCCATCGAGACGACAAGAAGAAGAAGACGACTTACAATTACAAAACATACTTCTAAATACGTACATGACGATGGTAAAATAATAATTGATAGTTACATAACAAAAATATAGAACAAATTACAATACTTCCAGGCATTATTCACTCTATCCGCTTTATTTGAAGTTAAATCGCAAAAATCAAGGCACCGCCAGTGCGCCCGTCACCCTGAGACATAATTTGAAAAGTCTCATATGTCTGTAATTTCACATGCACTCTTATACCATTCAAAACAGTAACGCAGTGACGATCACATTATTATTGTTATTATATTAACCTACTAAAGTTATTTGTGTATATCCGTTCAAAATATCTTCTTATTTTTGTTGCTAAGCAATTCTGAAAATGTCTAGACGGTCATTGATCAGCAACTGTTGATAACTAACATAGACATTGTGTACACATCCTTACAGCCAGAGTTAATAATAAATAGGTCAACACACTTTGCGGTCGACATACATAATGTAGACCCAGTGCCAAAACACATCTGCTTTACGATAACGTATTAAACATGTTATGCGTATTTATATTATTCGCGTCTTCACTGTATTTGCTATCGTATTGGTACGTCCTGGAAGCCCTGTCATCTCCCTCTCTCTCGTGCAATTGCTAATTGTGAAGTCTGCTTTCCTTGTCTTTGGATGTACCTTCCAGCCGATCAGACGCATTACACTTGGATACATTGCATAGGTACGTCTTTTTTTATCACATCTGCCCATGTTTACGATCTTCCCCTATGAAACTGGTGATGGAGAGGATTGTTTGGACTTCAATGTAACCTACTCTCCGAAGCTTACGGCTCTAGTAAGTCCCGTCTGATAGCTATTATTATAATTATATTGTGAACTAAACATAGTGTGATTTCGTTTATTGAACGAGTTAATTATGATTTAATATAAACATTATTTTAATACAATGACGTTATTATGTTTAAGAATACAGAGACGCGTTTATGAAGACTTTAAGAGCGGTTATACAAGACAACTTTTAGCAGCGATGCATTTTTTTATAATATTAAGTAACGGGGCGAACAAGTCGTGCGCCTGATGGTAAGCGACACGCCTGTCCATAACAGTTGCAATGCCACTCAGAGCTTTAAATCGCAAAGATCTAAGAGGCACTGCCACTGCGCATTACCGTGAGACATTAGTTGACAAGTCCGATTTGCCTATAATTTCACCAGCACTCTTACCCTTCAAAACCGGAACACGGTAATGCTAACATTACTGCTTGGCGGCAGAAATAGGTAAGGTGGCAGTACTTCCCTGGACGAACTCTTTCACAAAGAGATCTACAGCGATGCAGTCGCTATTCGTCTACCTTTAACACACGAGCGGCTTTCGATGCAAACACGATACAAACGCGATGCAAACGCGACGCAATCGCGATGCATGTTATAATTAATTTCACTTTTTAATTTACAATTAACAAAATAAAACAATATGCATAAACATACAAACTATACAGATTTTCCGTACATAATTACTGAACATAAGCGACTCTATCGTTGCAATCGCGCGTTTGTATCGATGCAGTCGCGCGTTTGCATCGATTCAATCGCCTGTAAATTACAAGTGTAGCATGCAATCCCGTGTTTCACCACTGTTAATTAGCAGAAATACGACGTTCTTATTTTGAAACTCATTATAGTTCTATACCTCTACCACGAGTTCACTGTGACAGTTGTCGCTAAGGATCGCGTAAATTACATCACAAGTTTGTATGACAAATTATACAGCGCCCCTAGCGGTTACAAGAAGAAACAACATTTTGCATACAAACATTTTAAGCGGTCGCTAGAGATAACTGTCACTGTAATCTCTTGGTAGAGGCACTGAACTGTTTTTACAGTAGCGAGTAAGATAATTGACTGATTCAAAATCAATTCCTGCTCATATACTCGCTTCCCCATATTGATTAAAAATAACAATTTTGTTTTGTTTGGAATACAGATACTTTTTGAATTTGTAACAAAATATTATCACGAAATGCTGTTATAACTTCTTTCCTTGATTGTAACAATTTCCTCAAGGTTTGTGGAGTGCTCTGTTAACTTTCACGTGGGTATATGGCCTAAAACCTCGGCTGAGAGGAGACCGGTGCCCAGTAGTGGGACGTCCAAAGGGTTAACGATGATGGAACCTTAATTTATTTACAATAGTATCTCATTAATTATTGTCAATTCATCTTTTTTTCTAATTGAGGCCATAAAGTCCGATCCGATAATGATCCGTTTGAATTTCCTCAATAAACTACAATGTAATCAGGTTATTTGACTATCCAAATTTAAAGTAACGTAACGTAGGGGTTACGAAACAACATATTAAAAAGCATTCCTAATATTGTAATGTGTAATAAACATACGCTAAACAGATGTTCGTATCGGCCTAAATAGATGAAGGACAAAACACAGTTGAAGTTAGCATCGATGCTTTAGATTGAATACTTTGAAAGTCACAGTTCACGAGTCAAGAGTATATTTTTGTTAAAAGAAATGTCTATTTTATTTCTGATTCTCCATCTCACCTGATGGAAAGTGACGATGAGGTCGACGATGGAGTATGCACATCTAAAATACACTTTCGTCTTGAAAACGCCCAAGTTATAACGTTCAGGGAACAAGTCTGTAGGCAGAGAATTCCACTCCATAGCAGTTCGCCATATAAATGTGGAAGCGTAACGCTTCGTGCCTATCGCCTAGTCCCCCGGTGATGGAAAGGGGAAGGTGGAATTAAATCGTGTTATTCCAACGCACAGTCTCCGTGACATATCCTGTAAAATACCGATAGGTAAGCAACTTTACAGCGGTGTTCACGTATGTTGGCACGGTTGTCAATTGAATCCAAGGTGGCCAGTTGGTATGTAACAGAGCCAAGTTCAATTCAGTAAAATATGAAATTGTTAAAATGAATTATTTTTCAAAATATACATACTGTAGCGTAAATTGGAATGTGATTTGGTAAATTAATAATAATAATAAGTCACTTTTGTAAACATAGTTTAGAATAGGGTGGTTTGCATTAATAACAACACGCAGTTGATTGACAGTTGAACAAACAGTTACACGCGGTTTAGATCCGAAAAAGTTTCAGTCCTTTTAAATTTCAATCAATTTGAATGTTCCCTGATTCTTTCAAATACCTGAAAAAACTTGTAACTCAAACCAGTTTCTCACTCGACTTTTAGCTATAATGCAGATGTATCATTGTAAGCTGTGATGAAACTAACTATTGCCGATAAATTATGGATTTTCTGAGCTTGTATTGTAGCTTGTGTCAAAATAGTTTTTAAAATCATGTATGTATAATACAAGTAAAACATCGAGTTCATTTTCGCGTGTGGATACAGTAAGTGTGGTTTGTGTGAAAAAAGTGAGTGACAATGGTAACGCCACAACAAATCGCGATGAAGGTAGTCGTCGACAGCGCAAGAGGGTAGACAGATATGTCTGCCCATAAAGCTGTCATCTGCCGCCGTCCAGTCAACCCGTGACCATGGAGCGTGCAACCGTTCCGAAATATCGGGAAAATAAAAAGAAGTTATACCGTGGTAAGAAACCTGTTACTAGTGATAATCATTAAGTAAAACATACTACGAATAGTGAAAATGTTCGCTTTTTAAATTGTTCGCAGTTTTTCAATTTCGATAAAAATATCTGATGCGGTATCTGATAGGTTAGTGAGGAGACAGAGGATTACAATGCTCAATGCATAATATAAAGTACCGGAGTTATACGCTTGAACCTACTGGCTGTTGCTCAGGTCTTGAATCAGTACAGAGATCCCATACAAATGAATCTTTAATGTTTTACTTTTACTCAAAAATAAAAAAAGTACCGATCTGAAAGAGATGACACTGATAAAAACAGATAGGCACATATTCTTAGAAGTGTAAAAATGCTTACCATCAAACTTTTTCGCCCGGTTAGCGAGTGTATCCGCAAGCTTGGCGAGTTCGCTGCGCAGAGAGCTTTCAAGCTGCGTGCGCGCATTTTGCGTGAGTCGCGTGCGTGCGCCAGCGCCACAGCACCCTCTACTCAAGCACAAGCCGTCGGCGTCTGTGGACAACAAAACATATTTGAATTGTTTATAGAAGTTGAATGTTTTCCTTTCAAAAATATCTGTATTTCTTTAATTAAACTAATTTTACGGACAAACTAGGAAAGTTCTAAGGTTTTCACGATTGTTACATATAGGAAATGAACATTATTTTTCAGATCCACTTCGCGCATATTTATTTTCTCAAACAAACGAACGTTTCGGGCCCTTAGTAACAACTAACCACATACATAACAATATAATATGCCATACACATAAATTAATTGTGCTAAATATGTAAATATATTGATTTTTTATTATGGTAGCTGGTACTAGTTACGCTAATATTAATAATGCAAGCCATCGTTTTTTTATCACACCAGTGACGGGGCGAACAAGTCGTGCACCTGGTGGTACACGCCTGTCCATAACAGTAGCAGTGGCACTCAGAGCTTTAAATCGCAAAGATCTTTGGGGCATTGCCACTGCGCCCGTCACCCTGAGACATAAGTTGACAAGTCCCATGTGCCAGGAATTTCACAAGTCAAAACCGCCCAAGTCATTACTGCATGGCGGCAGAAATAGGTAACGTAGCAACACTTCCTTTGACGATCTCTTTCACAAGGAGCTATACTATTTTGAACTTAATTTACCAAAGGAAAAGAACTTCATTTCCATTAAAAATTACAATTATTAAAGCACATCGCTAGACAGCTGCTGGTAGCTATAAAGGTACCTAGCTGAGTGAAGCAAGGCTTTCAAAGATTTCTCACAGATGGCGCTACGGCAAAAAGTCGTTAGAAACCAAAAAACAAAGACCTGCAACAAGCACACCGAAAAATTCGTAATGTCCGCTTGTCCGTTCCGTGGCTTAGTTGCTTAGCGTCGGACACGGTTGCATGAGGAGGTTACGTATTTTTTCTTAATAATAATTTTTACAAACTAGTGGAGTAATTTCACAAAAATAATTAAATATCATGGTGGTCAAACATTGTGACATTCAATAAAAAAAAACTTCATGTAAATGAATTTTTCTTGCTAATTTAAAAAACATGGGAACCCAAAACACTTTATAAACATCGAAAGCCAAGACATTTCGAATTCGTCACGGCAAGTCGAATATTATTTTTACATTCATCCCGCTCTCGTTAAATAGACGGATCGAGGGTCGAACTACCCCACAGCCATCATCGTGGGGTCGTTGCAATATTTAGCTACGAGAATTACAACAACTTTATATTTGCTGTCACCCATACAAACCCGTTTCCGAAACTCGTATAAATTCTTTCAATACACTTTAGAACCTTAACTCATTCTTTTGGAATGGTATTTGGCGAAATTAAATGTTAAGTTTGTCGTCTGCCAATGTGGATTGCTGGCGCTTTATTGCATTAGTGTTAAACTTGGGGATGGCAGATCGATTTTGCAGCTGAGAAGACAAAAACTTTCGGTTTAAGTTGTCTAGTTTATAAATGGTTTGGTTGAATATTCTAAAATTAAAAGCCTCATTTTTAATTTTAGAATATTCAGCCATATCTTGAAGACGTTAGAACGCCATATTCCCGTCACATAGTATTCAATCTGTGTAGATTTATGGCATTGTCAGCAAATATTTTCTAGCTTGTCTGGAAACAAGGATTGAGAATTTGCGGTCTGAAGGTTTCAATTATAAAGAGAACTGGACTGCGAGCTATGTTTCATAAACCAATACAGGGTGTTAGATAAAACACTGTAGTAAGACTGTAAAGTGGTTGTTTGGTATCAGACCGAATACGTAATTAAATATGATTTTGTACCCTCACACGTAAACAAAACAATGACCAATTAAACCAGCATCAAAAAAAGGAGCAGGTTCTCATTTCGACTGAATTTTTTTGGGGTGTGTATTATTTATGTACTCTGGCAATTGTGAACCGATTTTAAATGATTCTCTTTTTGTTAGAAAGATGGTACCTCAGTAAGTAAAACGAATAATTTAAGGACAAAATATCTAACTTTGAAATTAAACTGTTTTTTCCGAATTTAAATCGCGTATATTTGCTTTCTCAAACAAACCAACATTTCAACTTTACCAACTGAGTCAAACGTGACCGTGGAACCTGTAAAGTGCCTGAACGTTGATTTGTTTGAAAAAGCAAATTATACGTTATACGCGATTTAAATCCGGAAAAATAGTTTCATTTCCTATATGTAGCAATCACGAAAACCTAAGAACTCGATATGGAGCCCTATACTTATTAAATTCGCATTTATCCCAAAATTTGCAAATTGCAGGTTTAATGACGCACCGCGCCGTCTGCTGCCCCGTCTGTCGCCATCGCGCGCTTGTCGACGTCGGATCTGCGTCAAGTTTTCTCCGCCTGTTCTTATTTCATTCATATTACATTATTCACACCTCACCTCCTAAAATCTATGCTCGCGTTGAAATAACGCGCCTAAGCGTGCTTGCGCACGGCGTCCGTTTCGTTTTCGTTACGAACCCGAGACTACACAATTCTAGAAAACTAGGAGATACTTCACACCTAAACATACAATAATAATAACGCACACACTCAACACTCAACTGTGTCGCGGGTGCCATGGACACACACATAGACAACCACAAACTACAACTTACGAAAGAAATAAATATAGCCCATACAAATATTTCTCCCGGCCCGGGAATCGAACCTGGGACCTCTGAGTGGCAGTCCGGCATGGTAACGGCAGTTCAAAAATGAGCCCTGTGATATTTCGGACCGCAGTCGTTACTCGGATTCGGAATTCCGACGTACTACGCAAATGCTCTCAAGCTATTCTGTTCAGTATTTATTTGACGTGTATTGTATTCTATTCTTTGTTAATTATTATATTGTATTCCTTGTGGAATATCCTGAATAAAATAAAATATATTATAAATGTGTAATAATATTTTTAGTTATTTGTTGTCACACCATTTGTGAATTAATACCAATAGAACCAAGCCATCAAACTTGGGCCCTCCGTGCCTTCAACAGGCTAGACAGGATAAACAGTGTTTGACACTCTCATGGCCGACGATGTCGACGACCGAGTGGCAATACTTATGCCTCCGATCGAGAGGGAGGACTTGGTGTTAATCCGTTTAAATTAAACCTGTGGTACAAATTGTAAACGATTATCTTTTTATATAATTTATATTTTTTATATTATTATATAATTTAGTTTGAGATGACTCCCTGAAATTTCCTCAAATGTCCTACTTAATAAGAAAATGTGGTATCCAAACGGTTTCTTTTTTGTCGTTAATTCTTCTAATTAGGTTTTTCTTCTTGTTTTCATTTTTTTATTAATTACCTTACAAGTTGTTTAATAAATAATTTTTACTCTGATATGTCTGTGCTAACCATATTTTTTACTATTGAATGAAAACTCGCTTTAATCTTGTGTCTTAACCCAAACACGAAATCTCCCTAAATCTAAGGGCAAAGCACAAAGCATCTATGGAATAATACGAGCTACCGCAGCAGATTTAGACATACGACTCACTCAACGTACATTGTAACATACGATTCAATACGTTCAGCGTACATGTGACGAATTTACGAGAGGGCGGTTGAAAATCAATGGTAGATAATATCGGGGTAGAATTGTCGTTTAATTTCAAAATAGAACTTTGAAATTAATTAAGAACACTCAATTTTGATTTAGAACTTATTTGGTAACTTAGTTACAACTTTTTAATAAAAATACCGACCTCAAAAGTATATTGAGAGAGAAAATCGCCTTGAATTAGAGAATAGTAAAATCAACCATTGAAATAATTGCTCCTTATAATAGAATTTAGGCGCTACTTTTAAACATGAATCTTCATGCGTGAATAGCCACTCTTAGAGGTGGATGATTTTCTTCAAAATTAAAACTTTGCAACAAAAAAAGAATCATGAAAATCGGCGCACAAATACCGGAGTTATCGCGTAACATACATACGAAAAAAACATGCAGTCGAATTGAGAACCTCCTTCTTTTTTAAAGTCGGTTAAAAACGGCGTTTTCTTTGTACTAAACATGAGTATATCAAAATATAATTTGCTGATTTACTGCAAATTATATCGTAACGACGCGACGTGAATATAATTCATAAAAATCACATAGAATTCCCGAACGCCTAAACAAAAGTTAAGTATCACCACTGGTCTGTGGGTATCACCGATACTAATTATAACGTTCACGCCCCTAGAAATAATTCCGTTCGAATGTTTATAAGTCCATTTCCTCCGAATAAATAGAGCTGTCCATTCTAGTATTATATTTCGAGCTTTCATCTCAGCTGCAATGCAAACAAACCCTCGGGTGAATGTACAGATTACCATTTATTCTGTAGAAATGATACGGTGTTATTATTCTTTGGATTACTTTGTATAGATTTATACAATAATACACATACATAATATGTAGGCATATGCTCCCCTCCTTGTCATAACATAACTAACGTCATCTGGATTTTGGTAACTTTGGAGAAGTACCTACCTAAATTTTTTTTTAATGTGACTTACGATTATTACAATTATATGCTTAACAATAAGGGCGCAATCGATAGGAATTTTCATTGCAGCCGCGCAGGAACCGCGTGCATCTAACTGTCATGGCAAAATACGCTCTATTCATTTAGCTTTTACGTTTTAACCTAAATGAGCTTTCCGAGCGCGCGGGCGTGACTGGCCGGTTTTAAATTCAATTTTAAAACTTAAACTTAATTAAAACCAACATTGAATTTTGAAACAGGACGTAAATATTTTAAAACGTTCGTTAAAACCTTAAAACACGCTCACCTGAAATTTTTTTCGAAATGTTACTTACTTGCGCCCTTTCTATAAAACGTCGACTGGTTTATGATATGGGTAGTACGTTTATAAATATACCATAGCGGAGGTAGCAGAACATCGAGTATATAAGAAATAGAGACGAAATAAGGGCCATCCATCCCTGGCAAGTCATCAGCCAAATGGGCCCTAATTCCTTTTGAATATTAACTCTCGTTTGCGCTGAAATCACAAATTAGA